ATAGATCCTGCATTAACAGTCATAATTGAAAATCAGAATGATCAGCGGTACATTGCGAATAGGTTCCAACAGGATGGTGCCCCACCACATTACGCATTACATATTCGACAATATTTAGATCAGACGTTTCCAGATCGATGGATTGGTAGAAGGGGTGCCATTGAATAGCCCCCAAGATCGCCTTTGGATTTCTTTATCTGGGGTCATTTAAAAAGCAAAATCTATGCTACTCAGCCAACATCATTAAAAGACCTGCGACAAAGAATTGTGAATGAGTGCCTTCAAATTACTCCTCAAATATTGCAAAATGTGCGGCAACGTTTTGAGCAAAATCTTTATTATTGCATGGAGAGTAATGGTGGCCATTTTCAACATTTACTTGCCTAACGGGTCAGTTCATTCTTCATTTTTAAGTTACTTTGCTGCCAAATGTATTGATCTCCACTAATGATGATGTATTAGTTTTATTTAAGCTTTAAATCAATAAATCTTCAAAACTACATTAATTTTATATCATTATAAAGGGAATTGAAAGACCTTTAAAATAAGGTATCACGCAACCCCCTTTTTCATTTAAGATTTTAGGGTTGGTGTCACCCCCGCCCAGGGGCTGCACGTGTTAACGTGATTTTTTGCCAAACTTGTGTCCCCCTCGAAAACAAAATCGACGGGTCTGAGCGTTTTTCAAAAAAAAAACTGAGCTGCCAGTAAATGCGTCTGTTTCGTTTTCGATGCGCCACCCTGTATTTCCAGGACCCAAGTTTTTTGATTTGGAAGTTCGGAGTCAATGTCCAGTATAAATTCGAATAAAGTTATATTACAATGTTGCAAAACTGCGAGAATAAAGTGAAATGTCCGCATCCCGTATGCTAATTCCTGTTATATTTACGGCATTTTCCAAACTCTTATTTACGAGTGTAGGAAGACCTTAAAAGAGATGGCCACATATTTCCGAGAGCTGTCCCGAGTAGTGTAGGTTTCAGTCCGGAAAGTGTTGAAATGTATGTGTGGATATAACAGATGCGATAAAAATTATTGGCGATAAATTTTCTCAAAACTGAGATCAATGTGTAACTGTTTGGTACACTCATGCCTCGTGAAATATTGTCCACTTCGGCATTATAAACGATGAAAAGGGATATGTATTACCGATATACATGATAAAAAAGGGGGATTTATGTATAGATGTTTGAAAAGGGTTATTTGAAGTGGATTTATATACACTCTGGATAAAGCGCTGAATTGAGTGAACTTCGTAAAAAATCTATATTATGTATAACAGAGAGTATAGACATACTAATCCGAGTGCCGATGGAAAAACGGAAAATGAAATGTTTTGTTCCTCTAAAGCTGTCGCCAACCCGCCGATCGCGAGCTATCGGTAGCTCGCAAAGGTAATTCTGGTGGCTCACAACATATTTTAAAAAGGTGTAAAAATCATAGAAGCTTCAGTAAATCTTGTAAATTCTCATAATAAACACAAGCAGCCGCAACACTGCGGTGAGCGATCTGTTCTAGAACGACCTCGATTACTTTGAACGGAATAAATACGGGTTAGAGTTGGCCTGTAATTGAAAATATTACGAGCAGTAGTTGGAAGATGAGGACATACCATTTCCATTCGGAATGGGAAGAACAATATTTCTTCACGGAAGTTAAAGGTAAAAATCTATGTTTGTTATGTAATACATCTATTTCCGTTGCTAAAAAAGGGAATATCGATGATTTAGCTTTAAGACCATTAGTCTTAAATACAAAATGTATCTGGGTTTCAGTAAGTAAAGATAAATATTCAGTCTTATGTCATGATGCCTTGAAACTGAATCTGTGAATCTTCTTTTTCAATTATGAAGTTTAGTAAAAACAAATACCGTAATCGACTTACAGATGAACATTTGGATAATTGTATGCGAATGGCGGTATCATATTATACTCCAAACATTAAAAAAAATGTCAGTGAGTCTGAGTTCAGGCTTCTCATTGAACGCGCATTTTTTATCAGGACATGTTTTTGTTTAAAATAGTGCGTTTTTTTTTTATTTTTAGTCACCTTTATTAAATCGTATGTTTATTTTTCAAACACCTACGTTTGGTAGGAATGGATGAAGTTATGTAATCGGATACAACTGTGTATAATTTCATTTAAGTTGGGTAACATTGCTTACGACTAAGTAGCTCACTGTTTATCCTAAAATTATCAAAGTAGCTCAACACACTGAAAAAGTTGGCGATCACTGCTAAAATATATCATTCTGGAAATTAGATATGCAAAACTAGTGACAGCCTGTTAAGTAGCTTACCTATAGCCAGAGCTGAATGACGAACGGCTGATGGGTTTTGCTAAGTACGCCATATTTTAGGGAATAAAAAAGAAGCTTCAAAGGGCCACGATTAGCTTGACCAAAAGTAGGCACAGGCCAAGAATTATGTAGAGCCCTAGTTTCAACGATATACAGAATATTTTGTACGTATTTAAAATAGTGGCTTAAGAATTATTTTTTCAAATTCATTAGAGGGTAATGACGTAAAGGTTAACGATAAAGGTGCTTAATACGCAATGAAATGTCACATAAGGTTAAAGTTGACGTTTAAATATGCAGTAAGTAATGAGAGTGGCAATTACATCCTAATATAAAGTCAATTTGTAACTACCGATGCATTTCTTCTTATACAAATGTCAGAAATTCACTGATTCAAGGGACAACCATCTTTACTGACTTCTCATCGCAATTATAGAAAATTGACATATAGCTTACTAAAAATACATTTAGTGTCAAAACCTTTTTAACGCTGAATGAGTATCCGCATACATACATCTACAACTGTTGCCTATATCTAGATGAAATGACTGGGTAATTAGTTAAGGGTATTATTTAAAAAAATACTATTTTTATCTTGTGTGGAAATATCTCCTACAGCGGCTGTTTTGTAAAATGTTTGCGTTATGAATCGTTCAGCTCCCGAGAACATACTGCACAGAAGCACAGCTGTTGCCACAACAAATCTGCACAGTAAATTTGTGATTTCATTTGGTCACGCTATGTAGTGTGCAGGTGTCGGGAAGGTTTGAAACAAAACAATAACATTTGGTACATATGCTCAGTTCCACATAATGCTACAAACACCAAAAGGTAGCCAGACAAGTCTATGAACCAAATAGTGCAAGATCTCAAAGTGCCGGACGTACCTTATTTTCTGAAAGAAGAATGGATGTTGAGTGGCGTTTATATGTACGGGGGCGGTTAATAAGCACCCGTGTTAGAAATGAAGACACAATTTTTTCCCAAAAAAATCTTTTAATTTTCCAACATAAGCCCCTTTTAGAAATATACACTTTTCCCAACGTTAATGCCATTTTTTGACCTCCCAAAAAAGTAGGATTTGTCGAACTCTCCAAAATACGCCTGTCTCGGCGATGACTTCCTTGTTTGAGCTAAATGTTCTCCCCGCGAGCCGTTTATTCATGTCACGGAACAAGAAAAGGTCGCAGGGGGCCAGATCGGGTAAATAGGGGGGGTGCAGCAGCACTTCATAACGCAATTCATGCAGTTTGGCGGCGACAACTCCGGATTAATGTGCTGGTGCGTTATCGTGGTGAAACAGCACCTTATTTTTCGTGAAATGTGGCCGTGTCTCCTTCAATTATTTGTCGAAGCGGTCCAGTAACTTAGTATAGTATTGTCCAGTGATCGTTCTTCCGTTTTCTAAAAAATACACGAGGATGACGCGGTTCCATCTTAAAAAAATCGTCGCCACGACCTTTCCGGCCGATGGGACCGTCTTCGCCTTCTTTGGAGCAGATTCACCTGGAGAAATCCATTGTTTTGATTGTTGCTTAGTTTCTGGTGTGTAATGAAGAATCCAGGTTTCATCGACGATGACAACTCGATGCAAAAACTCCTTCGGATTTCGCTTAAATTGCTCCAAACATTGCTTCGAAGTTAACAGCCGACAATTTTTTCATACCCAACTTATCATGTAAAATATTGATTGCGTTCCGGTCGGCACACCTACGGCCTCTGCTACTTCGCGCACTTTCGTTTGTCGATCAGCGAGAATCATGTCGTGGACTTTTTGAATGAGTTCCTCGGTAACCACGTCTGCCGGGCGTCCTGGTGGCTCCTCATCAAAAACGTATGTTCGCATACGTTTAAATTCGTTGACCCAATATCTAACTGTGGCCGTAGATGGCAAAGTATCCTTATAAACAGCATCCAACTTTGCTTTTATCTCCACGCATTTTTTCCCATCCAAAAACAAAAAGCAAATTGCCGAACGATATTGCTCTTTTTCCATCTTGGAGAAAATCACGAAACACGTGTTACTCGAATGGCTGCCAAATACAAACTAACCTATCAATCAGTCTGAAATTTGTTGTGCCGTCCTTTGAAAGATGGCAGCACACGATGGCAACATTAACTTCCCTCAGGAACGCCCTCTGTCGTCAAACACGGATACTTATTGTACCGCCCTCGTACTTTGAATGTCTGCGTCAGATAGTATCAAGTGAAAAATGTTTTATAAAAATATTTTTCTTTCTCTCTCCTTCCCCGAGAACCTGTCTGGTTTTTGGGGAATCAGATCTGATAGACTGACGACAAAACACTGACCTTACAATGACTATGACCTAAAGGTCAAAGTTCTCCGCACCGCCTTGATAAGCAAGTAGTGGAGGAATGTGTTTTTTCCATAACACTATATTATAATAAACCAAGGACAATAGTCATAACAATCTGTCATTTTAATGAAACCGTACATGTTGACGAAAAAGTTTGCTAACGTTTCTGTTACCTCGACTATCGATTGACTTCAAGTATAGAGATCGTTTAGCGAGACAACCATAGAATATGTTAATCAGGATCCAAAAATATTATGACGTGATATAATTCACTCTTTTTGCATTAGAATTCACTGTAGTGTCTGTTTTGAATGTGCCATTCAAAATGTCGGTATACTAGACTTCCAACAGGACAAAGATTTAATGCTTAGCTTGATTTGATCATTGTACTTACTGTCCAGCTCTCTGTACTCAACGATGAATTTGAAAACCTCGTCCGTGTCACCTGCGTTGTTATGCTGCCATTTCAAATTGACACTTCGACTTCCTACCATCGCTGCTTCCAAGGCATGTGGTGGGGGTGGAGGTTCTTGGACCAGTAGTTGCACCAGCTGCTTTTCCTGGCCATACATGTTGCTCGCTCTACAAAAATAAGCGCCACTGTCTGACGCGTCAGCGTTCAGGATTTGAAGCTCCGCAGCAACCTAAAAGAATATTAATAGTGAGTCATCATTCTAGCACCCTACACGATAGAATCTTCAGATTCTAGCATCCATTTAACTGCCTCCTTTTTTAGTATTTATTTAACTCTTATAGCGCTTTCTTTGATGAAATTGGTGTCGTTTACATGTTTGAAACATTGCTCTGGTTCATCCTAAATTTGCTCAAAGTAACAAAAAACGGCTGTCATTTCACGTCTCGTGCTATCATCATTCGACAAAATCGATCATAGAGCATTGTCGAACAACAAATTAGGGCAATTTGGATTCACAGTAAGTACTATGAACATCTTTACATTCTATTGATTAGGTAGGAAGCAGCATGTATCATATAATGGGTTCAAGTCCGGAGCCTACTCAGCTCCATCCGGTGTTCACCAGGGGTCTAACTTGGGACCACTTTTATTTATATTGTTTATTAATGACCTCTGTGAACATATGAAATGTATACAATTATGATTTGCTGACGACATGAACATATATTCGTTTATAAGGGATGTTCATGATTGTTTTTATTTAGAGTTGGAGTTGATGGGATGTCAACAAGTGCACGGTTGTTAATTAGAGTAGAAAAAAAACCTTCATATTTTTAACTTTACTATTGTTGAATAGATGTGATGCAATTTGAGATTTGGGTGCTCTTTATGAGCAAATATTAACGCATACGGTTTTCTTGTCAGGAATTGTAGGCATTTGAAGGTCTAATATTTTGCATATGTGCGTAGCAAACTTGAATATACGAGTATTGAACGGAGCTCGTATTACCAAATTGATATAAACGAAATTGAAAATTTTCAAAGAAGATTCCTTAAGTTTCTTTATATGAAGTCTGAGGAAGCTTATATGAGCAAGGAGTTAGCAGTGCAGAACTGTGTGGACATTTTGTAATTCAAAGCTTAGAGTTCGGAAGAAAGGTTTCATCTGCAATACTCTAGGACAAATTAATATTAATGTGCCTCCGTTCTCTTCTTGCAATAATGTCACTTCTAAACCATCTAGATCAAGGACCATCGTTTTGGTCAAGTCACATGTGCGTGTAATGTGTAAAAATGCTATTATTATTAAACATTTTTCTTTCATTTCCTTAACCTTTTCGGTGTGTAATTTTCGAAGAAGGGAAGATAATGCCACAAAAAAAATGACTGTAAAAAATGCATAGTCACGAGTAAAAGCTGTAAAATGGGACAGTTTGTCAAAAGATCATTGAATATGCACCAGTGTAATAGCGGTTTCATCAAAAGAGAACGCTATTAGCGGAATTGAACTGTATCAATATTGCTGGCTCGTGATTTTGAACCAAAACTCTTCCAACCACTTTATGCAAAAAGCTGAAATATTAGCGTCGCTATAAAGTACAAAGCAGTATGAGGTACGCTTTTGTTACTTGATATGGGGTATTTTGAATGTTAGTAGATGAGCTGTTACTTGCTGTTACGTTCTGAACTCAATTGTAGTGGAGAATAGTGTACCACTTTCTGGAAGAAAATGTATTTAAGCAAGTGAAGCATGTCAACTATCTCTGTAACTAGTACAGGCAATATACTTAAATTGGAAGTAAATATAGGTACTTACACCATCAGGAGTGACATCTTGCTTCACGTTAACCCTGTAGTTCGTCGACGGATTCAGTTCAGTCTTATCACCCTTTGACCAGATCACATTGATTGGTTTGTCACCGTTCACATCACAATGCAGAAGTGCAGTATCTCCTTTCTTTACAGTTACTAAGCGTGATGGCGCTGAGAAGTATGGAGACGCTGAAAAAAAAATCATTTTTCGTAAGATAGAATTAGATGCTCTTTTTGCATATCTCGCGCTCTTGTGAAATTTAAATATTAGCCCGAGTTTTATAAACCACAACGCTTTGATGATACAGAGTATACTACGTTACTGACATTTCAATCACATTGTGTGAATGCACGGGAGCCTCCACCAACTTTGTTACAAGTATTGTGGTCCATCTAGCATCAAAGTTTTCACCTGTCAAGAGTTAAAGACGTATTTTTTTTGGTGCGCGATTCCACAACGGGTTCTTATGCCTGTCGAAGATTTTATTTCATTCCAGGGAGCGTGGCCCCGAAATCTATTCTTCCTCTTGTTCTTCTAACTCTGCGAGAAAACTTGTTGTTGTTGAAGATTAATCTAGCATTAAAGCTACATTGCCAATTATTCGTTTACGCATTTTTTCAATGCATTTTCTGTAATTTTACATCACTGTGAATTTTGTGTGTTCATAAAGTGATTTTTTAATTTCACCATAAGCATTTTTAAATTCGAACACTGTTTAATATCATTATTCATCTTATTAAATTCAAATACTCCTTTTAGAAATACAGATTTTCTAGTAATGCTAGTATTACAGTTTTAGAGATAAAAATCTATACTGCCTCTAGTTTCGTAATTATGATAATGACCATTTGATTTTGTGAAGTTTTGTAAATGTGGTGGTAATAAATGATTTTTTAATTTTAATATGAAAATGAGAACTAAATAGCATGAGAATGTTTTTGCATCCAACCACTGCAGTTCTTCTAACATAGACTTAATCCTAGCATATTTGTTTTTATTTAAAACGATTTTCATAGCTTTATGGTTGAACAATATACAAAATGGGGAAGAATTATAATGTTATACATAATTTTTTTGGAATACATACAAAGATTATGGGAAACTCTATAGAAATAATTTATCTTTTTTAATATTCTTGATATAATGTATTCATAATGCTAGAGAAACAGTAGTTTACTAACCAAGATATTAAAATGATTCGACTACTTTTTTCATCATTAATTATGAGCCTAATTTTTTTATTACCTAAATGTTTCTATATTGACATACAACCAGTTCATACTTTTTTATTATCATTATTTAACAGTTCTAAAACAATGCCCAAATGCTTATGTGCTCAATGTATCGTCCGCGAATATTTGAATTTTGCAGTGTTCTAAAATGTAAGAGATATCACTTATATAAGTCATAAATAGTAACGGCCCTAGTTTACTCCCCTGTGACTCCCCTACTGATATACGCTTGACGTAATATTTCCAACTAGTTTTTTGACTTCTATTTACTAAATAATTTTGTAAAATGTATTATACTGATCCTGTAAAACCGTATCGATACAATTTCATTAACAATTTTTCCCTATCTATAGTCTAAAAATACTATTACAATACATTCTTTCTCATCCCAAGTCTTCCACCACCATTTGGATTGCTGTTTCTGTAGAATATTTTTTCCTAAATCCAGCTTGATTTTTTGTCAAAGTTTTGTTTTCTTCAATGAATTCGATGATTTGTTCATATATTATCCCTTCGAACAGCTTCTCGACATCTGGCAAGATGTTAATCGGTCACATATTTGTATACAGCTCAGGATATTAAACATTTTGCACAGGAGTAATGGTGGAACATTAATCTTGATGGGAATTCACCATGTACTAAACAATGATTCACCAATAATAATAATTCCTCTCCAATTATATTCAAAACAATCATTTAGAATCTTTTTTGGAAGATTCTCACTTGGATTTTTATTATTTTTCAATCCTGAAATAGCTTTTCTTAGATTGCTGATGTTCATTGACCTAAATTGATTCATTGACGAACTATGATATATTTGTAATGAACATAAGTTTGGATCACCGCCATCAATCGACGTCACTATTTGATGTACAGTGTTTGTAAAATAAGTTTTCATTCTTTCTCCTATAATTATTTTTTCTCTCACTACCCCTTCTTCGAAACGCATTCCAGATTATTCAGTCTGCCTAGTTGGAGAAACAATGTTAATGTTTTAATCGATATTCTTATCATAGCATCTTTTTTTTCCCCCTGAGAACTGTTACACACTCATTTCCTGATTTTGTATATCGTTTCCAATCATTTTCACTTTGGGTTACTAAACATTTTCTGTAGTGAAAACAGTCAATATCACCTATTTTAGCTGACTTGTTAGCTATTCCTCAAGTCATAACCGTGATATAAATGAAGTGGAATGTGGAAGTCTGACACCCGGTTTATCATACTTCCTAACATCCGTATGTTCAGGATAAGAGAGACGCTGCAACGTTTATCGGCATATCGGTTCAGCTATTACGAAACTTGTTCAATTAAGGGTTAACTACGTGTGTTTCCGAACTCCACACGAACCAAACAGTTCGTGCGGTCGAGATAGTTTACTGTTTACTGATAGTGTCGTACAAAGGACGTGGAATCATAAAGACAAACAAACCTGCTGGGTGAATAGAAAGGGAAAGTACACTTCTATCGCAGTGCAATTTATTACGATTGACCCAGTTTTGGAATACAAACAAGCATCGTTACCGTTACGGATAGTTAACATTAGGCTTAAGGGATAAACAGCAGCATTATTACGTGCTTCAGGAAGCAACTATTGCGCAACCACAAGTTAAAGAAGACAGAAGAACTGGTAAGGCGTCCGTGAACTGGCGCGGTAGCGGTGGCGACCACACAGTGTGATACATAGAAACATATTTCATACATGTATAGCATATCATCGTTGTTTTGACGAAAACTCCTGTTTTTAACCGTTTTAGATTTAAAAAATGGTTTCCCTTTCTTTCACACCTATTTTTAATAAATATCTGCAGAATTATTAGAGTTTCTTATTACGAAACTCTTGTAGTGACATATAAATCCGAACACCCAGTTTAAATGGTTTTATCCTAATAAAATTTTGTATAAGTACTCCTCTCGAAGTGCTTGTAGAATCTGAGGAGGACGTTGCAAATTGAGCAATCTCCTACCCATCATATCCCACACGTGCTCAATTGGGGATAAGTCGGGAGATCTTGGTGGCCATGGTAACAATGTGACATCATTATGTTGAAAGAAGCCTATTGTGACTCTTGCAACATGTGGTCGGGCTTTATCTTGTTGGAAAGTTGGATCTGCCAGGGTGTCAAGATAGGGTAAAAGATGGGGTTCTAGAACTTCGTGGATATAACGCTGCGCGTTTATGTTACCTCTGATGAAGATTAAAGGTGACCTGGAACCATAAGCTATAGCACCCCAAACCATAACTCCAACAGTGTGATGAACATGTCTTTCAACAAAAAACTGTGGATTCCTCCTTTCACCACGTCGCCTTTTAACCCTGGCACGACCATCGTGCATGCCTAAACAAAATCGAGACTCGTCACTAAAGACAATACTGTTCCATTCCTGATCCCAGAGTGACCGTTGTCTGCACCACTCAAGGCGATTACGTGGGTGTTCTCGAGTTAAAGGGAGGACCCAGTGTGGCCGGTATGAAAACAAGACAAAACTTCTCATTCGTCGGTAAACACTTCGCATGCCAATAGGTCTTCCGTGTTCTGCAAACCATTCATTTGCAATGGACCTGGTAGTGGAGAAACGGTCCCTTAAGGCCAATAATCTTAGGCGGCGATCTTCACGGTCTGTTGTTCTACGGCGGCGTCCAGTGCCCCTTGCTCTTTGCGTACGGTCGAAGTCATGCCTGACAACACCTAACCACAGTGTCTACACTTCTTTGCACTCTAACTGCAATTGTCCGAAAAGAATGTCCAGCTTCCCGAAGTCCCACTATACGGCCCCTATCAAACTCACTAAGTTGACGAAATCGTACAGGTCTCCGTACTCTAGGCATCGTAACCGATCGTAAAGGATGTCAAGAACCAAAATCCGCCAACGTTGATTCTTTACTGCGGCTGAAATATTCATTTTTAGAGCGTTAGTCAATTAAAAAAAAAGCAGTATAAAAACCGGAATGTCCAACTGATAAGGCTGAAAATTTTATCACTTGTTATTTACAGTAAGATAAATACATTCACCAACTTTTATTAAAGTAAAACCATTTAAACTGGGTGTTCGGATTTATATGTCACTTAGTATATTTGACCAAACAGATATTCAGAAAGCTCAGATGTGGAAAACTTGTTACACAGGAGGTTTCATCAAAACAACGACGATTGTGTGTCTATAAATACAAATTACATACGATTACATACATTTTTAAAAAACAAACTTTTCTCTTGGCAGTTTTTAAATATTATTTTAAACATTGGATAGCTGATTGAGTTCTTGTATTCTTTGTGGAAAACGGATTTGCAACCTTTGAGAGAGTTTTTAGAATTCAAATGAACATCAATTTTTCCTCTAGTTTTATCTGAATGAACTTTCAGTTTGAAAGTTTATTGAGACGCTTCGCTAACAATCTATTATTGACTTTGTAAACAAGAATAATTACAAGGTACTTAATGAAATTCATAATATACAGCGCGGTGCATCGAAAACGAAACAGACGCATTTACTGGCAGCTCAGTTTTTTTTTTTAAAAACGCCGTCGATTTTGTTTTTGAGGGGGACACAAGTTTGGCAAAAAATCACGTTAGCACGTGTAGCCCCCTAAGCGGGAGTGACACCACCCCCAAAATCTTAAATGGAAATGGGGGTCGAGTGATACCTTATTTTAAAGGTCTTTCAATTCCCTTTATAATGATATAAAATTAATGTACTTCAGTTCAGTAGTTTTGAAGATTTATTGATTTAAACCTTAAATAAAACTAATACATCATCATTAGTGGAGATCAATACATTTGGCAGCAAAGTAATTTAAAAATAAAGAATGAACTGACCCGTTAGGCAAGTAAATGTTGAAAATGGCCACCATGACTCTCCATGCAATAATAAAGATTTTGCTCAAAACGTTGCCGCACATTTTGCAATATTTGAGGAGTAATTTGAAGGCACTCATTCACAATCCTTTGTCGCAGGCCTTCTAATGATGTTGGCTGAGTAGCATAGATTTTGCTTTTTAAATGATCCCACACAAAGAAATACAAAGGTGATAAATCTGGCGATCTTGGGGGCCATTCAATGGCACCTCTTCTACCAACCCATCGATCTGGAAACATCTGATCTAAATATTGTCGAACACGTAATGCGTAATGTGGTGGGGTACCATCCTGTTGGAACATCAACCTATTCGCAATGTACCGCCGATCATTTTGATTTTCAATTATGGCTGTTAATTCAGTATCTATGCCGTCTTCCAGTAAGTCCAAATACATTTCACCGGTCAAATTTCCAGGTAAGAAAAAAGACTAACTAAATGATCGCCAAAAATACCAGCCCAAACATTTAATTTTTGTGGTTGCTGTGTATGAACCTCATGATAAATTCTCGGATTAGAATCGGACCAATATCGGCAGTTATGACGATTTACTACGCCATTTGAGAAAAAGGAACATTCGTCGGAAAAGCAAGTGTTGAATAGAAAATGTTCATTGTTTATAATTTGTTCAGTCATATCTTCACAAAATTGTAATCGCCGATCAACATCGTCTTCATTAAGTTCTTGTACCAGATGAATTTTATACGGATGAAAACCATGAGCCTTTAGAATTCGTTCGACAGTACGTCGACTAACACGACACACAGTCTCCGATTTGCTGATACTTAACGTAGGATCTACATAAACTTGCCCTAAAACCCCCACTTCTATTGCTTCGTTCCTTATGGGATTTTCAATGTTGCGTTTTTTATTGGCGACTGACCCAGTTTCCCGAAATTTAGCTACAAGTTCTAGAACATTTTTTCGATGCACGTTACTGTTCTCATGTCGCTCATTAAATATTTCTGCTGTTTTATTAACGCACTGATTATTTCCGAAAAATATTTCGATAATTTCAAATCTTTCTGCTGTGGAATATACCATGGTTAATTTATGTAATAAAGCGTTAAAAGTTATTTTAGCAACAAAGTTTGGTCAAATCAATCGCAAACTATGTACTAAATTCTTATTTAAAATAAGTATGGGATATTTCCTTACCTTTCTTCAAAAATAACTTGTTTGTCACAAAAAACGCTCCAATAACTATTTTCAACAACAAAATGATAAACAAACCATGGGCGTAGTGAAGGAAAGCATTTACTTATTAAGTAAATTCTTGTAGTCAAATTTTTTCTGAAAGTAGTACAAACTAATCTGATGTACCTATTAAAGTCTACTTTAAGCTTTAAATCAATAAATCTTCAAAACTACTGATCTGAAGCTCATGTATTTTACATCACTATAAAGGGAATTGAAAGACCTTCAAAATAAGGTATCACTTGGCTCACCTTTCCATTTAAGATTTTGGGGGTGGTGTCACCCCCGCTTATGGGGCTGCACGTGCTAATGTGATTTTTTGCCAAACTTGTGTTTTCAAAAAAAAAAACTAAGCTGCCAGTAAATGCGTCTGTTTCGTTTTCGATGCGCCCTGTATAATCAATTCAATTGATTTAATATATTTTGTATATGAAATAATAATAATTTATTCACATTGATATACACCATGGTGAGGTAATTTCAATCCAGAAAAGGATGTCCTTGTGCTTGGAAAAAAATAAATAGCATATATGATATATCATATTATACGAGTACAGCGAATGCGGCGTATTGTGTGTTATAAATTTCTATTCTATTATTGGACTGCAAGTCTTTTTATTCAAAGTATGTGTATATGTGTTATTATGTTTTAATTTGGAATTTCTCTTAACCAACCTTTGAGTTCTTTCTTGAATTTAATTATATTATATTTATTAATTTTTGCTGGTATATTATTGTATAATAGTGGAGTCTGACAGATAAATGCTCTGAGTATGATGTCTTTCTTTGGGGTGAGTAAAGTCATTTGAGAGTTTTTTTTTAGTATTTTGATAATTCTTGTTCAATACGTAATTTTTATTTTTATGTTGATCTAAAGTAATACTTTTAATATATAATTTTCGTCTTTTGCTTAAAATTTTTGTTTCAGCGTATAAAAGTTTAGATCCGTATAAATGAGGTTGTTGTATAGTAGTTTCAGAATAGATTTCTGTGCTTTTTCAACCAGTTTCATTAGCGTCCTATTTGCAGAGCCCCAAACCGGTGACATTCCACTAGTGCGTAATATAATATTATCAAACGTTTTTTTTTTTAAGAAAATGCCTGAAGTGGTAGGATTTATACAACATTCATCTCAATTTTTTATTACTTCAATCCACAAAAAGTTTTCTTCAAATTTTTGTCTAAGAGCACTGCTTCATTTACGCATTATTGGTCTACCCTGTTTAAAAAATCATGCAGTTTTCCAAGTGATAGAAAAAATCCAATATTCCACAAAAATCGATTATTTATATCTTCTAAAATCGATTTATATTAAAAATAGAAAAACATTCTTCAGGTAATACATTTTTTCGTTGTGTCACATCGCTACCGTCTGTGTGTGAGACAGTGACCATGTTATTGCACAACTATAATATATATATTACTACAACAAAAATACTTACAATTTACCCTGAGCTGTATGACTTTTCCGATGCCAGTACCAATGCCGTTATCTGCCTGGCATAAGTAGTACCCTTCACGATCTTCTTTCACGTGCTGAAGTAGTAAAGTACCGTTGCCAAGTAGTTTTGTGTACATATGGTCGCGGATTTCCTCATAATCGCCCGATTTGCTGGCTAGAAATGAAAAATGTGTTAGAGGCTTCTCTTGGCACTCTAACTTATTTACCTGCTATAATCGGGCTTTGAGAAAACTAAAAGCATTAACAATGTACAATCAAGCATGCATTAAGACAGATAGATCATCATGGGACTGTCAAAATGGCTGACATTGTTAATTAATACGACGAAACGCTTCAGATCAGTTACTACATATAATTATATAATAATGGAAACAAGAATTGTTTTTTAGTGAAATCCTTGCTAGGTAAAAGATCCTTACTCGAAAAAATGAAGCGCCGAGATCACTTCAAAAGTTCTCTAGTATACAAATAGCTTTTAGTGATATTTAGTTTGTAAGGGGAGACTAGGAGCATACATGTGTGTGGTAACATTTTTTCAAAGAGCTTTCGGATGATAACACACCAAAGATATGAAAATATGTGGCAACGGCACAAGTTTCTCAAACAAATGGTGAAAGCGCTACGGGTTTTATAGCATGCGCATTCACCAATATTAAAAATATTTTAAGATGTTCAAATCACATTAAAAAAATGACGTATCAAGTCGGCGACTCTGCACTTCTCATGCAACTCTGTCCTTCTGATAATAATATTTAATATTTAGCTACGAAACCGTATAACAAAATAAAAAAGAAGTAGATGGATCAAGTCAGTCAAACAGGTTCATACGATTAATAAATAGTCCTCACCTATTTGACAACCTTGCGATCTAGAAATGTCTTCCCTATACTATCGAAAGTACCGGCCATCTGCTATAACCAATTCTCGCTAGCTACCCAGCGGTCAGACCATGCGACGCGTCTGTCGGAAACATTCTATTTTTTAAGCCAACATGTGAGAAATACGTCAAATAGTTGCACAGAATTACCGGGCTAGAAGCGTATTTATAGTACATTTTACTAGCGCTATATGTTGATAATATACCCTCAATTTTTAGTCCCCACAAAAATATTTCTAAAAATCGTCAGGAGCCTCTCGAACGTAAGAAAAAGGAAGTTAGACCGATTTTTTTTATTTCTGCCCGTAGCTATGCTGCCATTGATTACTGCCTTGATTACTTCCCGCTTTAGTATCATGTGTCAACATTTTATTAATATCCGCGCGGTACTTCCATAGAGGGGTCTAGAATTAGCGGATGGTCAGACACATCGAAATGGGTGACATTGTTTTCGTGACGAACATACCATGTAACACTCCAAAAACCCATGTAATTTTTGAAATTTTTCGCGGCTGTGTCTAGAAATACAGGAAGATGGCGTATGTAGTTCGCAATCGCTGAGACTTAACTCTAAAGGGTGCATCTCAAATAAGGGTACACGCTATGTGGATTCTGTTATAGTCTTACTAATCCACATTTCAATTTAAAAGCCATGCACACACTAAAAACGTTATTTTCAATGAACCTGTTGCTTTTTTCCATGTAACGACTGGGGTAGGTACTCCTTGCGCTTGGCAATGTAGTGCGACATGTTTGTTTCTCTCAACGCTGACATCGACTGGTTCCACGAGCCATCGTGGTGGTACTGAAATGACACAACTATGTTTTAGATTACGGCTGCATGGGCTCATATCGTTTCCACGGTCGTGAATAGCCGATTTGTGAATATTAAAACTATGTAAAATATAGTTTTTTTCCTCACTTTCTTATATTTTTTTGTGATTTTTTGTATTCATATTCAAATTGCTTTGCATTTTTGTAGTTTTAAATAAATTCTACATAACATTTTTCAGGATGCGTTTGAAGCCCACAAAAAGGAACGGTTTTTTATACAGGTATATACATCGAAGCAGCCGCGCAGGCAGAAGCCTAAATGCCGGAATACCGCGGCTGCTATGATGATCCCAAAGAACTCTTGTTAATACGATTTTTGAACTGCCTAAGATTAGTAGAATTGGGAAAAGCTTCCTCTTGCAGCTTGTTCCACAATCTCGATACCCTCGGGACAAGTGAGCGGTCGTATCGGCCAGTTCTGGATGTAAGAAGTTCGACACGGTTAGAATGGGAGGCCAAAGTCAGGCGGGTCTGTTTGGCAGGCACATCGCGAGGCGGCATCATGGAAGAGAGCTCTGAGGAGCAAAGCCTGTTGGTGTAGCGGTAGAAAAGAGCTAGATCGCGACGGCCCGCCGGTGAGAGTCCCGAGACTGTCTGGTAGGGAAGAGTCATCGATCAGTCGGACCGCCCTCCTCTGGACAGCATCGAGCATGGATAATGTAGTCGGGGTGGCAGCACCCCAAACGTGTGAGCAATACTCGAGGCTAGGCCTTATCTGGCGCTTGTATAGAGTGAGAAGGTCAAGCGGAGAAAAGTACTTCTTAACCCTAAACAAATAGGCTCGCTTTTTCCCAGCAGCTGCAGCTATTGACGAAATGTGTTCGTGCCAGATCAGGTCCTCGGTGATCTGGATTCTGACCAGCCGAAATGAGTGACTCTTTGGCAGAACTTGGCCATCCATCGAAACCGGTTGAGCGCTAGGACGCTTTTTGTTCATCAAAGTACAGTACTGTGTTTTGGAAGCATTGAACTGTACAAGATTGTCGCGTCCCCAAGTGTCAGAGAGGAAGTCGTCGCTAGTCTTCTTTTCTCCAGCTCAGAGGCAGAGATCGGCTTGTCACTCTGAATTCCTGCATGTAGAGTGCCATCATCAGCGAAGCTGTGGATTGGGTTGATCGTGCAGGAAAAGAGGTTGTTGATATGTAAGAGAAACAGTGTCGGATCCCTGAGGAACAACCGCGTTGACGTTGTGGGATGAAGAAGAGAACCCGTCAATTACGACGGATATCTTGCGGCCAGAGATAAAGTCAGCCACCCATCTACAAAGCCTTTCTGGAAGGCCATAGGATGGAAGTTTGCTCAAAAGGGCAGCGTGCCACAGCTGATCGATCGCATTCGTGATGTCAAGAGCAACGACATGAGCCTCACCATAAGACTGGATGAGTTTACTCCACAATTGCGTGACGTAAGCTAGGAGGTCCCCTATGGATCGCTGGTGCCGGAAACCATACTGCCTGTCGCTAATCAAGCTGTGATGTTCGAGGTAGTCCAGAAGCTCGCGATTTATGCACCTCTCCAACACCTTACTTATAACAGAAATCAGAGCTATAGGCCTGTAGTTGTAAGGGCCGATCTTAGATTCTTTTTTTGGGATGGGTCGGACATGAGCAAATTTCCAGTTTTCTGGGAAGGTGCCGGATTCATAAGATATCTGGAAGAGACGCGATAGAACTGGAGCAGGCTCTGCTGCACACCTCTTCAGTACAATGGCAGGAATCAAGTCCGGACCAGAAGCTTTGTAATGTCGCGGGACAAGAGCACCCGTCTTACGGTCTTATGCCTGAATGTTACCTCCCGCATAGTGTAGGGAACCCTTTGAATTGATGGCACTTGGGCATTGGGAGGGACGTCCTTGGTGGAGTTAGTAGCAAAGATCCTGACTAGCATTGGACTTAATACTGTATACCTAAAAGGATTTCCTAGTTGATTGTAGAGAAAAAAGGCCGTTATTTGATCAACTTCTTCATTGAAGATTAAAGTTATAAGGGGCTGTGGGGGAAGAAAGAAATGAAACCTTTCATACGTTCAAATTGCAGTAGTGGTTACGATGATTTAAATATATTCGATATTCATAATAAAATTTTGGAATCTGTTTTTTCAACTGAGATATACCTTAGTTAAACAATTTAATTTAAAATTGTCGTATTTTTGCGTTGTTCAGAATTGTGACCTGACATTTTATTTACTTAAGCGGTGAAGCCTAATTCCAACAAAGCTCTAAAAGCTTGCCTCTAAACAGGGATTAAAAGCTTTAACACTGAGCTATGCTGCAGCGCTGGTAAAATTCATATCACCCCATAATCGACTATTCACACCGTATTATTACCGTTTTTGAATGGTGCCAAGTTGGTGGAACATTGACCACACTCTACACATTTGTTGGTAATCCCCTCAAGCAGACATATTTGTAAGATATGCGATATATTCCTTAGAAGGTAGAAATATTCTATATATAAGAATTAGCATTTTTCCATAAAAAATCATAAAAACCGCCAGAGGTATTTTATATCCTTACCTTTATATGAATTGAGTAAAACACTATATTTGGCTATCGTTGCTACTTTGTCTACCAACCTCAGCACGATAGCAATATTTGATAATTTTATAAACGTGAAAATGTATGAAATTCTGATGAACAAGGAAAAGTTACTGTTATTGCTAAATTGCTAATAAAAGTCTGAATAAATTAAAAGTGTTGAACTTTTGTGCGAAGTTAGAAATGTTCAGCTTGAAATACTACAAATATAATATATTATAAAATTTTAATTTCCCTCTAACTTCCTAAGCACCAATTTTATTAGATATTGTTTTGAATCTATTATTTCTACCTACTATATGCAAAAGGAATGAGCAGTCTTAAAATATTTCGCAATCGGGGCGGAAATCTAGTTACTGGTTTTGCTGCAATAAGCAATACTCGTGAGGGGTAAAAAATATATCCTTAGAAAACGTGGCGTGGTGTGAACATCAAGCGGCGTTCCAACTGATGGGCGCCAACTACATAAAATAGCAACAGATCCACCGCAAATGTATAATACATCTCTTACATAGATATGCACCAGTTTGAACTTGTTTCAATTAAATTAGGGAGGGCTAATTATCACTTGTTCACTAATAAGCAAGCAATTAAAATCCAAAATCAAATAATTACATTTTTTTTCATACATCTGTCACCGAATTATGGTGATCTTGATTAAAGATAAAGTTTCTTCGTTGGTCCACTCCATTTTGTCGCCTGCTACAAGCCGCACCGATCCGAACGGGTTTGGATAGCCGGCGACACGGATCAACACGTGGATTCATGTCGCTGACGGCGCCCTCGAGAGGCAACAACGGGCAAATTGTGGCATGCGGCAAGGAGACATTTTTTTGTCGCTTTGTGTTGCCTCTACGAAAAGACAGTATGCCGCATGCATCAATGCTGTATGCTACATGTTGCCCAAAAGTTGCCTCAGTGGAATTGCGCCTTTACAATTACAAAGAATTAATGTTCATTACTTGAAGACGGATTATTATACTTTGAAGTTGAGTCATTAATTTTCAGATAATGATTGTAGAAGGAAGATAAACCAAAATATGTGTGTAAAAATTAAAAAAAAAATGTTACCTTGTTTTATAAAGTATCCTCCCGACAAGTATTTCACTGCGGACCTGTATTTGATCGTGCGGTCTTGGAGCACCGCCATGCCCTCCCCTGTGAGGTCTTAAGTCACCTGATTCACGAGCCCTTTGTACTACATTAACAAAGGCACGAGGAGTTGGTTGCACTCGATTGGGAAACCGACACAAGTTCAGCATTTTCGTAAACATGTGCCATTTTTTATTTCGTTTGAGCCACGCAACAAACACCACTATTCACTCACGCTTACCGACTGACGCATTGACTGAATACAATTGAATAAAATTGTAGTAAAAACATCGTGATAAGCGTTTCAAATTCTTTCGCTTTTTTGTTTCCGATGCGATGAACCGATAAGGCGGATTATATCCGTTGTTGCCAAACACGAGCACATAATATTATTATTGAGACAGGGCGGTACTCAAACTTCTAAAGGGCTATAACTTTGTTACTTTAATTTTACCAGAAAAATGTTAAAGGGAAAAAACATTTCTTTTGATCAGATCTACGCACTGTTAAAATAAATGACTCAACTTCGAAGTCACCCTGTAGGATAAATAAAGATACTTTCCTCAATTATATATTCATTAAAATTTCTGAAATATGTAATAACACAATGCTTAAGGCGTTCGCTTTGCCCTACGTGGTGCTGACCAAACCTGACGAATTCTGTAGTTAATAGCTAAGCTTTACAACGTACAGTTTGGCTTTACTTGTAGTTAGTGAATTTTTGCGTAAAGATCCCAAATCAGGTATTGACCGCTAAGTGCTATTGCATTACCAGTGTCTGTAATTACACGGAGATCATAAGAAACCAACGTATTCGTATATTTGCGGTAAACCTGTTAAAAATCAATTAACCTACTATCCAAAAATACATCAATCTATATACAAAGCATGCAAAAGAAAGGGAAATATCCAAAGGCTACGATAGTGAAGAAAAGTGAAGAGAACAAGAACAAAAGACGGTGCAACAGTACCTTGACCACTGGGTCCACTCGACTCGCATGTGCCAAAGCAACGGAGGGTGATTTTTGTGAGGGGGCGGGGGTGGTGACAGGATTTAGAACCAATTCGTTCCTTGTTGCAGTGTAGGTAGTTAATTCACTTAATTGAGGTTAGTTTAGCTACTTTTCTGCGATCATACCAATATATAAGATTTTCCTTATAAAAAACTGATTTATTTACATCATTGATATATAATCTCTAGGGGATAATAACTAACGTCTTTGGTTACTGTGTCAGGCCGAGATTTTTATAGAAAGGTATTGTCAAAGTGACGTGTGTTGCGCAACTTCGCTGAGTTTTTCTTGAAGTAGCTATTGTTGTTGTTTTATCATTGTTTTCTAGTGCTATTGCAAATAAACATAGAATCCTGTGGTCTGATGATGCGCTGAGGATATGAAGAAATCATCAGGGACAATTTTTCACAGACTAGTATACTGTAAACATAAAATGCGGGATAGAACTAACTTTTTTATATGCCGAATAGCTATTAATGTATGCATAGTGTGAAACATAAATCAGACAGTAAACTAGGTGTCAGCGATGGCGTAGTGGTAGGCGCTTTGGGTCATCGTGAGCCGTCTCAAGAGAATGCTTCTCTTGGCTTTGTAAGTTGTAATTGTCCGTAAGTAGTAGATGGTCTCAGACTATCGAGCGTGGACGTACCACCCGGCGGATCTCCAAGGCCGCGCCATAATGCGTCCATGCCACAAGCTTACGTCCCCCCTTTTAACCTATATCTCCCTATAGCGCCGAGGTACCCCGGGTATGTAGGCATTACGTCTGGATGATGGTTCAAGTATGTATAAATAAGACTTGTGTTGATGTGATACAAATCTCTAGATACTACCTGGATGGATAATATCTTGTGTCATCTAACGACAACAGATGCTTTTATTGTTGGAATTATACCTAGAGCCATAAAAAGTCTGGTTCCGAGCTGCGAAATGCCCCTGTGCCAAGATTTTGAGCCCTAAATAAACATATGCTGGAAGTACTTTTGTCTTTCAGTACTGATCCCAATAGCGCCAAAAAGGGTATACGATGCTTCCCAAATTATTTGCGTGCTTAATCCTGCGCTATTATGTTACAATAATTGCTGAACGGATTAAGCTATCTTTCAAAGAAGGAGAAAGCATGAATTCATAAACACTTCAATAGACACCTATAGGTATCATAGACATATTTTGTCAAGCAGTTTCTTTTGGAGCAAGCAACAGGGAACAGTAACATAATTAAATTATCCAGAGCTTGCCAAACATATACGAACTAGTTTGGCCAGACCGAATTAATCGTATGTACGGACGCATCTCACAGCAAAGATAGCATAGCTTGCTGGCAAATAATTTCCATAAATATATATGGACTCTTAACATATTTGATAACAATAATTTGTTATGCAGGGTGTCCCAAAAGTCGACGTCAAGCCGAAACCGGGTGATAGGCAAAGTCATAAAAGATATAGAAATGTCACACCCTACGGCAGTCTGTCAACTCCTGTTACTACAAATATTAACTTTTTTTGGATTTTATTTTTACAATGTAATGATGAATAATGCATCTTCAAACTGGTGTCTCAACCTTACTGCCAACTTTTCTCGTTCAGGAAAAATTGCCACTTATTTCCCAACCAAGTATTCCAAAGTAAAACTTTGCTCAACTTTAACTGGCTGTACTGGAAAAAATGTACTACGAGAGTTTGGCAAGTAACCTTAAAAGTTGGCGCATTTAATAACGATTCCAAAATGGTATAACACTTAGAAGATTACTCGTTAACTTACGCACAATTTTTATTTGAAAAAAAAACTGATGAAAACTTTTCAAAATTTCCTAATTAAACAGCGATTATGAAAACGCACAAGGACCCTTAATTATAACTGTTTGCACAACAGTGGGCGTCAAAATGCTGCAGATGATGATTTACCTTTACAGCAAATGCTCAAACTGTTTTCCTTCAGCCGCAATACACGCTCGACATCTTAAAAAATATCGGGTTATTAAACGATCGAATCCACGGTTATTAACAAACTCAGCTGCTTCCAATAGTCTTTGCCGTAGCTTAGCTACATTTTGAATCGGCTTGAAATACACTTTTTCTTTTACAGTTCCCCAGTAAAAAAATCTAAAGGATTCAAATCAGGTGATCGGGCTGGCCACGGTATTGTACCAGACCGCCTTATCCATCTGCCTGGAAAGTTTTGATCGAGATACTCTCTCACTGAGAGTGCATAGTGCGCTGGGCAGCCATCATGCTGAAACCACATGTCCCTGTAAATACTCAGTGGCACGTCCAACAATAAATTTTGTACATGATTTTTCAAAAAATCCAAATAAACTTCAGCAGTCAAAGTCTCTGGGAACTCAAACGGACCGAATATTTTACCATTTAAAATTCCTGTCCAATGGTTTATCTTGAAGCGATATTGAGATTTATCTTCTCTCATCAAATGTGGGTTTGCTACGTGCCACTCGTGTAAGTTATGCAGGTTCATGTACCCATCTTTCTTAAATGTAGTCTCATCCGACCATAAAATTTTTTCAAAGAACTGTGGATCTTTTCTGTGTCTTTCTAACTGCGACAAAAAGCAACTCGGGGCTCATAATCCCGTGCTGCAGCGAGACTTTACTGTGAGAGGTACCCGAACGCAGCTCGTCATCCAGATCATCGAGTGTTCACAAATATGCACCGCTTACTGTTCTCAGAGTGCCAACTACCAAACCAATCACACGGTGAGGGAAGATCTTTCCTTCCTTACGAAGACGTGGTACTAGGAGCTGTCGAAGAAGACCCGAGTACTTCAGTGCGTGCAATACAACTAAAAACAGGTGTGCCCAAAAGTAGAGCCCATAGAATTTTGCAAAAAAACGTGCTCCATCCATACCACGTACAGCGTGTTCAAGCTCTTCTGCCCCGGGATTATGAGCCCCGAGTTGCTTTTTGTCGCACAATGATAGAAAGACACAGGGAAGATCCACGGTTCATTGAGGTTTATTTAGGTTTTTTGCAAAATCATTTAGAAAATTTATTGGAGGACGTGCCACTGAGTATTTACAGGGACATGTGGTTTCAGCATGATGGCTGCCCAGCGCACTATGCATTCTCAGTGAGAGAGTATCTCGATCAAAACTTTCCAGGCAGATGGATAGGGCGGTCTGGTACAATACCGTGGCCAGCCCGGTCACCAGATTTGAATCCGTTAGATTTTTTTTACTGGAAACTGTAAAAGAAAAAGTGCATTTCAAGCCGATTCAAAATGTAGCTGAGTTTTTTCATCTAAACAAATTCAAACATTTCGTATTTGTGAGTAATTCGCAACAAAAGATGAAAGACATCCGGTTTGTTTTAAAATGTGTATAATAACGTATGTTTTTCGAATATCGTAGCGCATTTTTTCAATTATTGCTCGCAAATACGAAATGTTTGAATTTGTGTAGAAGAAATAAACGTAACCGTTTTATTATTATTATTATTATTATTATTTTTAAATAACATTTATCTTTCAGAATGGTTTGCGATACCTAAAAATCTTGTATTTAATCCCAAAAAACACGTTGTCTCACTGTTTGTTGTCAAATAGAAAGTTTTCCCACAAAAATTGGTGTACCCATTTTATGCGTCCATGTTTTAAATACCCATTGAACAACTTCCACCAATAAAACCAGACTTCACAATTATTTCGGGGAAATTAGCTAATATGATTAAACCATACTGTACATTTCTTCAGTTTATATTAACTTTAACGTTTCAGGTAAACAGCCGCTTCCATGAGATGTACATAATTTTCAATTATGTACTTTTATGTTTAGTGTCACTAATCATATTCTACCAGACAATGCATAGGTTTTGAGTCGATGTATGGGTATTACAGCACTGCATCAAGAAAAATCGGTATTCGGGTAGTGAGGTATACGAGGAGGTTGGATTATGTTACCTTTGACCTGTAGCTTCGCCGTGTACCTGACCTCAGAGGCAGGATTGCTGGCGACGCAGGTAAAATCGCCGGAGTGTCTCGAATCAAGGCTAGAAATGCTGAGGAGGCTAGAGTAGGGATCAAGGGCCGAAACGTTGACACCAAGGTTCGGGGTCAATGGTTGCCCGTCCTTGAGCCAGGAGACCACTAGTGGTGGATCCCCTTTACTCACACCGCATACGGTACGGGTTCGCATGCCCTCCGATAGTCCGTCTTGGAAGGAAAAGGGCTCAATTACAGGGGGAACTGAGAGAAAACAAGAGAAACGAACATCAGAGATAGAAAAAAAGATACAAACTAAAATGTAGGTATATATGAATAATGAAAAACGGACGCCAGGCTCGAGCCTTTCGCCAAATCATTACCATTCACTACCAAATGATGGGTGTGTGACACCTCGGCAGCGAGGTTCCTCACCACGCAGCTGTAGTTGCCGTTGTGTTCCGGGCTCAGGCTCAATATCATTAGAATGCTAGTAAATTGGTCCACTTGGGTTATGGACACAGACTGTCCAGGCTCGACTGTACGGCCGTCTTTGTGCCAGGTTATGGTCAAAGGTTGGTCACCTTTGGTCACTGAGCACGTCAGACTGGCGCGGTCACCTACGTGTAAACTGTCCTCCACGCTGAACGGGCTAACCTTGGGCGGAACTGTAATAGAGCTATGTTAATCAAGTGAAGTTAGCTATGTTTGAAACTGGAGCCTGGTGGTCCCGCTCGCTTAGCTGAAAAAGACTTAGAAATAGAGCCAAAGTGTAATTTTGCTTGCCAGATGCTTGCAGTTTGAACAAAGTGACGTAAGGTGCGTTGTTGGTAGGTTGTGTTGGTCACGTTACCATGGAGAAGTCATGGAGGTACAACATTCTTTATCCTATGCTCTAAGTACGCTTGATATCCAAAAATTTTCTGTTGCATGTGTAACCAACTCAATGCCGGCCACGGTACACTTTTCAAGGGGAGTATTTAGGTTGAAATGCCAAACAAGCCTTAAGACTGAAATTCAACGTATTTAAACTAGTAGACAGTTCTGGGTTCTAGGCCTAGATAAATGCCAAATGTTTCAGTTTATTGTTGCATAACTTTAAGATTCGATAGAACTTTTAAAATTAATGCATAAAGTCTATATAAACATGGGTCGAAAAATGCGTGGCTTCCGAAATACAGGGTGTTTAAATTTACTTTCTAAAATAGTTTTTTTTAAATACTTCGAACAATATTTGATGTATAACAGTGAAAATTGGTATACAAGGGTTTTTTGGTACGACAAAACGAACCATGGGCATAGTTTTACTGTAGCCGCTAGAGGGCGCTCTCTACTGTACCTGTAGCGTATTAAAATGACCGAAAATTTTTTCTTAGTGCAATTTTTTGCTTTTTGAATAAAAAACTGATTCTTCGCACTTTTCATACATAAAAAATCTCTCTTGTGAATTTTCGTTATAGATATTTCGATTTTTAAGGTTCGATGCATTTTTAATTATTTATGATAAAATAACGTTAAAAAGTCAGTATCTCGATAATTTTTAGAAGTGTGCCTGCAAATATTTTTGAAATTGAAAGCAGAATAAGGTTAAAGGTCAATTAGTTGACAGTTAGTTTTGTTGTCTGTTGAAACCTGGAACGTTTTTTTGCAATTGTGAATGCACGAAATTTAGTTTCTTTTACCTGTTTTTTTGTAAGTTTTATAAAAATGCCATTTTTATTCTCCAATCAAGATTTAGTGGATATTCATTTTGTGTATGGCTTTGTAAATGGAAACGCAGCAGAAGCAGCCAGAGAATACGCACGAAGATTCCAAAACAGACGACATCCAACTCGCTCAGTATTTGTAAGAGTGCAACGCCAAATAATTGAAAATGGTTTTGGAAATCTCCAAAGGGATCAAAACATAAATGTTTGTCAGCGCAGATTTACCCGTATGATTCTGGGAGAGTTTGATAGAGATCCGACCACAAGTGTTAGGAGAGTCTCTGGTGCCTTGGGAATTTCAGCAAGCCATGTTCACCGTGTTCTTAGAAATGACCATAGACGTCCTTACCATTTGCAACCTGTGCAAGGACTAGGGCCAGGGGACGGAGAACGAAGAATCACATTTTGTCAGTGGATTCTTGATAGAACTGATAATAATAGGGAGTTTTTAAGTAACGTTTTATGGACCGATGAGTATTGCTTCACAAGACGTGGAGTGGTGAATTTTCATAATCAACATATTTGGTCGCATGAAAATCCGCATGCAGTTCGGGAAAGAAATTTTCAGCATGAATTAAGTGTGAACGTGTGGATTGGTATCTACCGTAGTCGACTATTTGGACCCTACCTTTTGCCTGCAAGGTTAAATGCTGCGACCTTCTTGGAATTTTTAAAGGCTGAACATGCAAATATGTGGGATGATGTTATGTTAGATTTAAGAAGATTGGCCTGGTTCCAGCTTGATGGTTGTCCAGCTCATTATTCGAGAATAGTTAGAATCTGGCTGGACGAAAATTATCCAGAAAGATGGATCGGCCGTGGAGGACCAGTCGCCTGGCCTCCACGATCCCCTGACCTAAATCCATTAGATTTCTTTGTGTGGGGATTTCTAAAAGAAAAAGTGTACCAGACTCCCGTAACCACAAGAGATATGCTAATAGACAGAATCAGGAATGCATGTGATGAAATAAGGCCTAATTTGAATAATGCTATACCACGTTCAAATATTTGTAGATGTGAATTGTGTATTTAACAATTGGGTTTACATTTCGAGCAACTACTTTAGATTTTGTATGTTTGTCCTAACTATCCAATAGCATTTTAGTTGTAAATAATTAATTTAATTTGTTAAAAATAATATTGGAAAATTAAACAAATTCATATTCTGTTTTTTCGTGTTTATTTGGAGTTAGGAATTATTGCTGTGTTTAAAAACACAATCTAAACCATCATCTTAATTACTTGTAACGCCCAAATCGAAAATGTAAAAAAAAATATTATTTTCCCATAAATAATTAAAAATGCATCGAACCTAAAAAATCGAAATATCTCAAAAATGGCTAACTATAACGAAAACTCACAGGAGAGCTTTTTTATGCAGAAAAAACTATTTTAGAAAGTAAATTTAAACACCCTGTATTTCGGAAGCCACGCATTTCTCGACCCATGTTGATATAGACTTTATGCATTAATTTTAAAAGTTCTATCGAATCTTAAACTTATGCAACAATAAACTGAAACACCCTGTATATATATATATATATATATACATACAGAAACTGAAATACAAACTGAAGCAAATAATGAATAAAGATATTCAGACATCAAAAAACGCTTCAGCTCATGTGAATGTGTTACGTGAAGAGTAGCATCCATAAAATGTTGGTAAAAAGTGAAAATCGGTTTCATTCAAGATGCTGACGAATGGTTACCTCTGCTCAAAAAGAAATTACTATTAGAATTCTTTCAAATGTACATTCAATGATCTCCAAGCTGTGTCAGACAAAATCTGCGCTGATATAGAAAACATCCGCTGTACGCTATACGCATTTGGGGTACAAAATGTTCTCATAGCGTTTCTAAGCGAGCAATATTTTTACTACGTTATCTAGTTGCCAGCCATATGTGGCAATGTTTTTAGTATGGCCCAGCTATTTTGCTACACATGTTTGACATATTTTCATATATTGCAGTCAGATTGTAAACTGTGGCTGTGAATAATTTCGTCAATTATTACTGAATGATTGTTACACCTTTGATGAAAAATTCTGGTAAAAGTCTACACATTGCAGACAACATTGCCAATATATAGCCGAGAGTTAGCTGATATAGCCGAGATATAGCCGGGCCAGGTGCTGTAATATGGTCATGATGGCTGTGCTACAATGGGGTACTTGACACGCATCTAATTTCAAAGAATGAATGCGTATTTGGCATAGGAAAACGAAATATATATATTTAAGCTTTTAAATGCGCAAGATGTATATATAAGTCCAATTTAAAAAAATAGGTTTTATTTTTAATACGTAACGGTGAAAGCACTATCGACAATGATATGACGTCATACAAATTGTAAACAAAGAAACTTCATCCGTATGTCACTCGTGGACTAACGTTGTCTTCTTAAAAAAAACTACTAATCTACGTAAAAATGTATCGTTTTCTCGTTTGATCGGAAAAAAAGGTTGGATTCGTAAAATCAGCAATCAAAAATATCTGCTCCAAGCTCCATGCTCCAAGCAATACATAGTGTCGCGTATATTTATTTCCTGGGGTACTCTAATCCACAGTTTTCCTGAGGTCTTTATCGATGTGTTTTTACATTCTCGGTCGATACAATAACGATAGATACTATATTTTTGATGTAAACTAATATAATTCATGTGTTATATGGTTAACATTTTACGAGGTTATGCTGGAGCTACAAGCTGTTAATAAGTGGTATAACGTATTACCTTAATATGGTGGACAGCGTTGTTTAAGAAAAATATATTTTTAAATTAAAGCTTTACAGTCCTTGAGGTCTGAAAAAATATAGTATTAATTTTTTTGGTCTAATAGAGCGAATATTATCTATTTATAATCTACTTCAAAACTATGTCAAATAGCCTATTGCCATAGCTGTACCTGTCGCTATAAAAATATTGCTCTTTTAGGTGAATCTAAACGACTGGATTATTTATTTTTAACTGTTTTTCTCTTAATTTTCTTAATCATTTTCGTGATGACGAAAATTATGTAATTATTAATCGTGGAATCTTGTGAATGCTGCTATCCTGACAGGCCACTGTCAAGTCAGCTCGAAAATACTAAAAACCAGACATATTTATTATAAGTTTGCCGACCGACTCGTAATACTCCTGTAGGTTAGGATGACCTAGAAAAATATATTGTAGCTATTTTCATAAAGCCAATAAAACTTGCGGCAACGCATATAATTAGGTACAACTTACAAATAATACATTCATCCGACATTTATAATGTTTCAAAAGTTTGTCTTAGGTCTGATGTTTCATAAAAAATGCAAGCCATATTACTCTGGCGTGTATGCTAATTAATAACTGAATAGTTTGATTGCAAGTGACATGGTATAGAAGCGTTCCAATATTGCAATTCAAGTTGATAATCAGCCCAGTTAAATATACCGCTAAATTATATTTGCCTTGTAAATTGCAACGATGAGAGATATATGAACAGATCAGCATATGTACACAGTCGTCAGGCTAGTGGAAATTAATGTTACAATAGAACATATGAAGGGTACAGGCAAATAACAGG